ATGAGAGTGTATTAGTGTTTGGTAATGGAGACCTGATTTTGTGCTGAGCTGGTACAGACTGTTTCTGCACCACTGACTTGAGTAGCACTCAAATAGCTGTTTGTTTAACCTTCCTGTGCTCAGATAAGCGTCCACCTCAAAGGAGGACAAAGTGTGTGGGAGAAAAGAGTTGATTGCCCTGGAGTGGAGCAGGTGCAGAAAAATGTTGTTCCCGTAACACTTGTCGATATATTTACATACACTTTGAGAGTTTAATTTCAGCCTGAATAAAAAAAAAAATGTTTTTGAAAATGTCATGTGAATGCTTTAGTTTGGGTGAAATCACAACAGAATGGTTTTTGTGAAGTTGGACTAAGATATTTAGATTTTTTTTTTCTTGCTCTCTTATAATATTCGTCTAGATTTCATGCTCTAATAGCAGTCATATTTTTTCTTTGCATGACCATTTTCTGTCTGACCCTTATAATTAAGAATGAGCAGAATTGATGTTACACTGGGGTCAGTTACGTTTTATTTTTTTAAATTTTTTTAGGAAATTAATACTTCTAATCTGCAACAACACATTAAATTGATCAAAAGTGACAGTAAAGACATTTATAATGCCTTTTTTTTTTATTAAATGCTGTTCTTTTGGACCTTCTATTCATCAAAGAATCCTAAAATCATGTGACACTGATTTTTCATCAAATTCCTCAATTAATTCTCAGTTCATAGGAATAAATTATAGCACACTACAGATTTTCACACTGAAAAATGCTTGATTCAGTGTTACAATTACATTAAAAATGGTAATAATTTGCCACAATGTTAATGCTTTTACTGTTTTTCATTCTTACTGACCTTGTAAGTCTTGATTGGTTGTGTGTGTGTATATATATGTATATATATATATATATATATACATACACTGTATGTGTGTGGTGTGTATTTAATTTTTTTGTTAGATGTACTTGGTGTAAATTGTTCGCATTTAATGCTGTCACCTTAATTAAGATTTGAATTGCTTTTGTGCCAGGTAAATATCACTCTGATTGCAAAAACACAGTATATCCTTAGTTATGTATTTGAAGATATATATGCCTCTTTAGCAGCTTCATTACAGTGAGCTTCTTTGTCTTGTTAGCATATGAGTAGCTTATGAAGCTAATGTTAAAAGTAGCAGTGTTGGAGATGCTAAAGTAGCTCCTCCTCCTCATACTGTCTGTAGTCTCTGTCCACTGTGTAGGGCGGTTGAGCGTCTGGCTGAGTCATGCTAGCCTGTAGCCTTATTTTGGGCTAATCGAGTGAGGTACACCTACAGGAATGTGAAGCACAGATGACTTAATTTCTATGTTTGTTGTGAAAGCACTGAATCAGCCTTGACATTGATTTGATTTCTGATAAAGATAAAGTCAGTAGATGACAGTGTTATCAGGAGTAACAGTTGTTTTACTGGTTTATAGTTTTTATAGATTTTGAGGCAGTAGAAGCATACAGTGTGATGAAGGTTTGGATTGTTTTGTTTAGTCCAGTGAGTCCAGAGAGGGAGTGGTGCTTTCAGCCTTTACTGGAACAGAGTCGGAGAAAGAGAGCAGAAAATGGACCGCTGGACGGTTTGTCTGCTCCAGTAATGAGGGAGGGCCGGATACTGGACGACATGCTTTGTTTAGCACCCAAAGCCTACCAGACCAAACAGAATTCCCCACTCGCCAGCTCTCGTTTTTTTTTTTTCTTTTCCACGCTTCCTTCATCTCTTTGTCTCGGACTGTCTGTTTCTTTGAACCAATCAAATAATTCTCTCTTGCACTCGTGGTGTTGGAGTGTCTGATGCTGTTCATGTTGTTCTCAAACGAGCAATTTAACAATCTGTAGCTCTGTGCTCTTGATGCCTGAAATATGATATGTCCAAATAAATTGGTCTTGTAACATACTGTCTATTAGGATGCCTTTGTCTGGTGAATGTTTGAAGGTAGTATACAGTAGATGTATACCTCACTGCTTATAATACCCCACAATCCTATGTTTGAATGTGATGATTTTCTTTTTCTTGTCAGTGTTGTTTAATTATATATTAACAAGGTAAGGGTTTGTTTTATTGATATATTTACAACTTGTACAATATTTCAAAATGTTGCACTCGATTTCACATATTTTAGTCTGGCATTATAGTTTGGGAAAAGTCCAAGTAGTAAATGCGAGCTAAATACTTAATACTTAGTATTTAATAGTTAATAATACTTAGCAAATACTTAATACTTGCTGTCAAAAAAATAGTGTTCACAAAACACTGATGTGACCTTTTTTAAATTGATGAGTCTCTATGATTTATTACAGTATTTCTACAGAGAAAGCATTATAGCATTTAAATATTTGCTTGGTTATATCAGCCTGGTTAAGTCAGTCTGAATCTTGTGTCCTTAATTATGTAATTGTTTTTAATGCTACATATTTTATATATTTATGTATAAAATATATATTATAAAATATTATTTTATAAAATTATTATAAACTATTATACAGTATATTAGATTTTATATTATATATTGTAAAATATTTTGTCTTATCTAAATTTCAAAATTTTGCTTTTTTGATCAGCCTGTTCAACATATTTTATATATTTTATAATATAAATGTTATTATCATATGAAAATTTTGCTTTGTTTGTTTAAACATCCTGACCAGCCCAAAAGGGCAACATATTATATATTATATTATATATTTTATATTTATAATATTAAATTTAAATGTCATATTAAAACTTTGTTTTGTTTGTTTGAACATGCCAACCAGCCCAACATCTATATTTTTCGGCCATTAGCAGATGGGGCGAGTGTTTAGATAAATTTTGTTGTTCCGTTTGGTGATTCTAGTGCCACAAAAATGATATACATTGCCTTTAAGATGTACCTTAATACATAAACGCTGCTTGTGAAGTCATTGACTGACTAGGCAGCGACTCAGCCTTTGTTAGCTTTCCATAAAGTGAAACACAAGAGTTTCAGAGAATGTTTCAGAGAAGACGACGCCATTGTTGTCAGAGCGATCATGTTTCGATTTTACTTCCAGCTAAACACACACACACACCTTTATTTGCTGGACCACAGAGTGCTGACCACTACATTATGAGTGTGTACGTGCCTCACAAATGTTCTTTCTATTGGTAGTGTCTTTAGCCAGTGTGCAAATAAGTGTGTATTTAAATAGGTAGTGTAACCTGTCTGATGTTTCCGTCATGTGATTGTATTCAATATGGCCGTTGCGTGACCTAATTCTCAAGTGAGCGCTGAACCTGATCTTAGAGCTCACCTTTAATCTGATCTGAAAACAGAACTCTGCACTACGCCATGGTTGCTTTTCCCAGCAGCACCTCTGAGTCCTCCGGCCTGGTTTCTACAGAACATGTCTCACTCCTGCCTATGGGCTTTACTCCCCTGTGTGGAAACCTGTCCTAATTCTGATTAATCGTTATAGTGGTGCATGCCTATATGAATGTGGGTTAGAGGTTTATAATGTAAGGAAGTAATAAATATCTGCAAAGTATGATTATCCATGGAGCAATATCTGTAGATTTGGCCGTGTGTGGCTGTTCTGAGCCAAAGCAGTGCTGATTTTTTTTTTGTTGTTCCCAAGACTGCGAGCTCTCAAATGTGAAACCTGCAGTCCAATAACCATCAACACCACCATTCACAAATCATCACTCATTTACATGGCTAGATTATTGTAGGGTTTTAAAGGGAGATGTGATCTGAACTCCAGGGTATAATCGTTGATGCCTGAAACAATATATTAATGTCCTCTCTTGGGTTTAGTGGTAATTTAATGGTATTATGCTGTAATGGTGGTTAGGTTCATACAGATTATGCACAGGGGTACAGTGTTGGGGAAAGTTACTTTTAAAAGTAATGCATTACAATATTGCGTTGGTATGTAAATTTATGAGAAAAGAAAGGTATGTAATATTTTAAGCAGAACAGTAAGATGTTAAACATTTAGAAAATAATAAAAAAAGGGATAAAAACTTACTACACACACACACACACATATGTGTGTGTATATTAGGGCTGCTTGATTATGGCAAAAATCATAATCACGATTATTTAACATGACTATGAGTGGGCCACATTACCAAAACTTTATGTATATATGTTTGTGTGTATATGCACAAAATTCTATTCATTTCTATTTTATATATTTAATTTTTATTGTATAGAATTTATGTAGTGTGTGTGTGTATGTGTATGTGTGTATATATATATATATATATATATGTGTTAATTTCTATATATTATTGCATATTTATTTTTTATATGTTTTATTATTATACATTATAATTTATATAATTGAAGTCCTGAAGAAGCTGCATTACATTTATTTTAAATATATTCATCAGGGGAGTGCTAAAAAAAAAAACGATCATGGGAGTGAAAACTGTGAAAAAAAATAAATCTCATAAGAACTGTTATACAGATTTTACAGTGTATAATAGAAGTTTTGCTCTTTATGAAATTCAAATAAATGCTTATATTTTGATTCTCATTTGCTATGAACAGTACTGTGACATCTACTTGTTCTAATGACAGCCTTAAATACCTTATTTGCAGTTTTTAGCAGAATGCATAGCACACAGAGCTTAAGCATGCTCACAGTCTCCCAAACAGCATTCATTAGTGAATGCTGAGCAGGCGCCTGTCTCAATGGGAGCTATTGTTCACCTCCCTCTCTTCATAAGTACCCTTTGGACTCAATATGGTCCCATTTGGGCTTCTCACATCAAAATGGTGCAAAAAGGGAGAGATCGCCCCCTAGTGGGGCTTTAGTTGCACGTGCCTCAAATATTAAGATGCTTACTCATAACTGTATTAAGCAATATTTAGCTGTGTAGTCAATTCTGGATTTGCTTGGTCATATATGACTTTGCGTTATATATTGAGTGGCATAGAAGAGGTTAAAGATTTCAAACCTAATCCATGAATATTCACTATTGTTATATGTTCTTATGCCATAAGTGTGTGTGTTTTCAGGAGCAGATCCATGTGCCCGTGTATCACCCCACTCCCAGCCAGGCCCGGCTGGCAACCCAACTGACCGAAGAGGAGCAGGTGCGGATCGCTCAAAGGATCGGCCTCATCCAGCATCTTCCCAAAGGTGTCTACGATCCAGGCAGTGACGGCACTGAGAAGAAGATTAGAGAGTAAGTGATGAGACTGTGTACCTGTCTCTTTGTTTCTTAGTTATATTAAAGGTATTGAAGGCACCATCTAGGAGCACCATTTTTTTCAATCTAGCTCAAAAACTTAAATTCCTTTCCTTTCACTATAAATATGCACATGAAAGCACAGCATATTTATAGTGAAATGAATCAGCTTAAGCTGAAATCTGCTATTACTATGACTATGGTAGCATGTTAAATTATGAGATTATTTAAATGTTTAACGGCATTAGGCCTACATTTATAATGCTTTGCTTTAAGGAATTTAATTATCATCAGCGAGTAGCAGCGAGGATGCAATAAATTGTTCAAAAGTGACAGTAAATGCATTTACAAATGTTGCAAAAGATTTCAATTTGAAATAAATGCTGTTTTTTTTTTTTTTACTTTCTATTCATCATAGAATCCTGGAAAGATGTATCACGGTTTCCACAAAAATATTAAGCAGCACAACCATTTTCAACATTGGCAATAATATATGTTTAAGCCGCAAATCAGCATATTAGTATGATTTCTGAAGGATCGTGACGCTGAAGACTGGAGTAATGATGCTGAAAATTCAGCTTTGCCAAGCACATTAAAATTTGTGCTGTCAATCAATTAAAAAATGAACTAATGCACATTTCTTCTGAAATTAATCGCGATTAATCTCACCTAACATTAAAGTTTTTAAATATACTTTTATTTTGCTATAATTTCACATTCAATCTTCAAATTAATGTAGAAACAACATAAAGACAGTATATTTTTAATATTTGTTTAAAGGCATCCACAATACTACTGATGTCTCTATGAAATTGTTTTTCCCCCTAATATTTAACCACTGACTATAGGCATTCATATAGTATAAATGAGAGCTATAACTTTTAACATTTATTAGACTTTAAAAAAATAACAACTTCTAATTTAAGTGAACTTAAAACAATCTTCACATAAACCCATTATAAAAAATATACCTGTGCCCTTCAGCAAGTAGGAAATATACAGAAATTGAATAAAGTTATCAAACACTAAATTCTAAATGCAACTCTGGTTGAAACTAGTGCTGTCAATTTAGATTTAAAAAAATTAACTCATTAATCGCACATTTTTCTCTGAAATGATTCCCCCCTAACATTAAAGTTTTTAAATATACTTTTATTTTGCTATAATTTCACATTCAATCTTCAAATTAATGTAGAAACAACATAAAGACAGTATATTTTTAATATTTGTTTAAAGGCATCCACAATACTACTGATGTCTCTATGAAATTGTTTTTCCCCCTAATATTTAACCACTGACTATAGGCATTCATATAGTATAAATGAGAGCTATAACTTTTAACATTTATTAGACTTTAAAAAAATAACAACTTCTAATTTAAGTGAACTTAAAACAATCTTCACATAAACCCATTATAAAAAATATACCTGTGCCCTTCAGCAAGTAGGAAATATACAGAAATTGAATAAAGTTATCAAACACTAAATTCTAAATGAAATCTAGATGATTCCTTAAAGTAGGGCTGCAACTAACGATTATTTTGATAATCGATTAGTTGGTCGATTATTTTTCCGATTAATCGGATTAAATATATATATATTTTTTTTTTACAAAAAACACACTATTCCACATTCTGCCCAATGTCCTTCAAACAAATGTGCCAACTGAATGCTATGAAAACATATGGTGCTTAACAATTTATTAGGCCACCTGCCATAATAAAGAGAAAACACATTTTAGGAATTTTAGGAATCTGTCAAAAAATGGTTTAAATCATAAAATGTTATTGTCATTTATTGGGCAAATAAACTTAAACAACTAAATAGTATTTATTCACATAACAAAAATGGCCTCCTATGCCCTTCATAACAGCTTGCATTCTTGCTGGCATTGTTTATGTACTTTTTTGACTGTAATTGGGTATCTGAAAAAAAAAACACTTTAAAGCTCTCTGCCTTTCTTTCATAGACAACAGCAATAATTATATTATAGCATTAGAAATAGCCTATACTGTTACTAAAGAGCTTAGGTATATTGGAGGACTAACCAATACAGAAAGATAAAAAATGATTTTGTTAATCACCAGTACTGTTAGTGTAGAGCAGCAGTGGCACAAACCATAATTTTTAAAAAACCTTACATAAATTTGTTTTAATACATTTGTTTAGCATTGTATATAGTGAATATAGTTTAAATCTCTGAATTAAAAATTAAATAATAAAGATGATAAAGACGAATAAAATCACAAACTCAGTTGTAACCAATAGGTAAGAGTAATGTTCTGCAGGAGCACACGTTCACTTTGACCACAAGTCACGTCTTACTATCATTTCTTTATCCTGTAAAAGGCGATTATGAAGCGTCTGATATCTATATTCAGACAATTACACGCGGTTATCCCCTTACAGTTTATACTCTCATAAAATACTCGCAATGCATGTAGACTTTTAAACCTTAATTTAACTTTCAACAACAGATATTTCAGCACAATAAATGTTTTTGCGCTGATTATTAATTGTCTCTGTTTTCGTCTGTCGCGCGTGCACGTGGCCGCCGCCCATTCAGTAAAGATTCAAACTTAACACAGACTGTCAGGACGGACCTTTATGCAAAATGGAAATGCTCGCGTGAATTTGTGACATTTATACATAAGGATATGACCGTAAACTGAAAGTTTTTGCGCTGAGGACGCACACGCATCATCTGCCAAAGCGCCAGGGCAAGCCATAACGCGAATGCATTAGCTTAAAGGGATAGTTCACCCAAAAATGAAAATTCTGTTATCATTTACTCACCCTCATGTCGTTCCAAACCTGTATGAGTTGCTTTCTTATGTCGAACATAAAAGAAGATATTTTGAAGATTGCTGGTAATCAAACAGTTGGTGGTTGCCATTGACTTCCATAGTAGGAAAAAAAATACTATGGAAGTCAATTTAAGTCCGTTTAATTACCAGCAATCTTCAAAATATGGTTATTTTATGTTCGACATAAGAAAGCAACTCATACAGGTTTGGAACGACATGAGGGTGAGTAAATGATAACAGAATTTTCAATTTGACGCAACGGGCTGAAGTTGGACGTGAACTGTGGGCAGACCCGACTAATCGATAATGAGAATAGTTGTCGATGATTTTCATAATCGATTTTATCGATTAGTTGTTGCAGCCCTACCTTAAAGCTACAAAAGTTATTGATTTCTTGTTTGTTTGTTTTTTTCTTTTGTTCTTTGATTTACAGACATCACAGCAGCTTGGTTATTAGGTTATTTTGGCTGCTGAACATGACGCTGATCTGACATGCATCGTATTTTCTCACTACTCTTTACCTTTTCTGAGTCTGACCCACTTGTGAATCGTGTTGTGTTATAGATGAGGGAGACGGTGCTGGGGTGCTCCAGGACAGTTTTACAAACCACTGCATTTCAGAGTCATGTTCTAAATGTGACTCATATATAACAAACATTTACATGCATGCACAGTTTAAGGCAACTTTAATCGCCTTTCTGGTAACTTCATGACTTAACTGACGACATAACTATGACATTGCATGCTCGTCACCTGTACCTTTTCCACGCTCGTTTGACTCGCGCCTGACGCTGAGGCGAAGTTGGAGTGTGCGTCTGAAAGTCTCCCGTTTGATGTGGTCGTAAAGACGTTCTGCGTCTAAATAAACACAATTCTTGTCAAGAAAAAAAGACAGAAGCAGCAGTTGTGAGTGGGGTGGCCAACCCTTGCTCCACCCCTGCGTTAATTACGTTAAATATTTTTAACTCGTTTTCCTGAAAAAATTAATCCCCTACGTTGATGCGCTAATTTTGACAGCACTATTTAAAATATATTAAAATAGAAAACTAATATTTCTTTCTCTCTTTTTTTTTTAACTGTATTTTTGATTTTAAAAAAACTGCAGCCTTGGTGAGCATGAGATATTTCTTTCAAAAACATTAAAAGATCATAACAACCCCAAATGTTTAAATGTTGGTTTATATATTACCAGAATGCTCAAATTTAAATGAAGCCAAGCAACATGAAGCAGGTTTACAAGATGTAAACCTTAATGAGGTAGAAAACTAATATTTCTTTCTCTCTTTTTTTTTTACTGTACTTTTGATAAAAAAAACTGCAGCCTTGGTGAGCATGAGATATTTCTTTCAAAAACATTAAAAGATCATAACAACCCCAAATGTTTAAATGTTGGTTTATATATTACCAGAATGCTCAAATTTAAATGAAGCCAAGCAACATGAAGCAGGTTTACAAGATGTAAACCTTAATGAGGACATCTCAGAAGTGTCTGTTCCTGACCATTCTGTTGTGCGACTATTGAATTATTTTTGAATTACAGTTCAGTAAATTCATCTTCCTGTCATTCTAATTCAATTTCCGATTCAACATCCGGCAAGGTGTGACCAACTTTTAAATTCTGCATTATGCCCGACTCTGTCAGCAGACTATGGAAACGCTGTGCCCTTTGTTGCCAAGCTTATCGTGGTGTGTGTTAACACGTTCTCTCTTTGCGCAGGTGTGTGATCTGCATGATGGACTTTGTGTACGGAGACCCCATCCGGTTCCTCCCCTGCATGCACATCTACCACCTGGACTGCATAGATGACTGGCTGATGAGGTCCTTCACGTGTCCCTCCTGTATGGAGCCTGTAGATGCTGCCTTGCTCTCGTCCTACGAAACTAACTGACTACTGCCTGCACTGATCCCCGCCGTACACACACACACACACACAACCAACCCTTGAGTCCTGTCCTCACACGGCCCTTTGTATAAAGAGACAAACTGTCTGCTTGCCTTGGGTGTGGGATGGTGTGCCTGTGGCATCATGGGATAAAGGAGGCCACAGTGATAATTAAACCTCTCCTGCATTGTCCTGCTGGACGGGGAAATCTGCAGGAGCCATTTTGCACCCTGAAAACTTTATCATGTGATTCCTTTGTCTCTCATTGACGACACCTAGACAAGCCGGTCACGCACCTTTCCACTGTAGCAACACTTACACTGGAAGGAGACGAACCTACTGGAGGACTTTTAAAAATGCATCTTTAACATTCAGTCTCTATTTCTTTCTTTCTTTCTCTGTGTCTGTTTCCATAAAGGGCTCGTTTAATTTCTGCTGAAGCTGCAGTGGAGCAAAACAAATGGCATTGCACATACACACACACACACAAAGAAAGAAGAAAAAAAAGTTTCATCATGAATTTTTGCACTTTTGACTCAAAGAATTAAGCCCAACTTGAGCACACAAATGTGCACGCATGAATCATCGCGCAAGACTTTTTGTTTAACCACATGTAAGCTTTTGAGTTTGTAGGTTTGTTTGGATGTTTTAAACTACTCAATGAACACTTCAGCTACCCAATGTGTGTTGAGAAATGTGCATTTCTCTCTATCGCTTGTGAGCACCAAGTCTGAATGGATTTGGTGCAGCAATTAAATTATGTAAATTATTATTATATATATATACTGTATATAAATATAAATTAAAAACTATAAATAAGTTATAATTGTTCTATAAGTAATAATAATAATAAATTAAATTGTGTATATATATATATATATTAGTGTTGTTTTTTTATTATGTATAACACTTTTTTCCTGCATTACATAGTTTTTGCTCTTGCATTAACATGTCACAATAATGGCTGATCTCACATATTGGTCAAGCTGAAATGTTTTGTTGCTTTTTGCTTTGTGAATCATGTTTTTTTTTTTTTTTTTCTTTACTTTAACATCATCAATACTGTTCAGTGTAGTAACACAACAAAACATTTATTTACTGTCAAAAAACACTGAAGTCTTCGAAAGTCTGAAGGTGGCTATGAGGTCAGCCTGGAGTGATTAATGCGATATAAGCTGTAGTGACTCACGAAAGTACACGTATGAGTGTGCGAAACTGCTCAATAATGATAATTTCACCTTTGCTGGTGCACTTGTGAGTTTAGTTAACTTTATTGTAAATAGTGCAATGATATATGTTTTAGTGACTTTTATTTTACATTTTCAGTACCAGATACTTTAAAATAAGTCTTTATGACATCATAAGGGATTCATAAGCTTAGAAAAAAAATGATTTGAATCCTCATGGATTCAGCCAAGTAATATATGAGTATTTTCCCCTCTTGCAATTTGCAATTTGAATATAAGACCACGGGCATTATGATCACACCCAAAGCTGGGATGTGCTTGAATAGCTGTTTGATGTTTTTTGAAATGAAAGATGGTTTATGCTTAGTGAAATTATGCCCAGCCCTCTCGCTCTGACTATAAAAGAAAGCACAAGAGAGCATAGAAACCAAGCCTCTATTTTTCTTAACTCAAATTTTATATAAAGACAAAGTAATTGCTAGAAATTAGAAGTGGTAGTAGGTAATGCGCCTTTGGCATTAAATCTGTCCCCTGAATTAATCAAAACGGGGGGAAAAAAAGTTCTGGTGGTTAGTGGCTGCTATTGAAGTGAAGATTTTCGTGTTTGAACTCATACCTTGTGTAGAGTGACTGTAAGTGTGTAGTTAATGAAGGTGAGGGATATATTCTTCATAGAAAATCCATTGGCCTGGTTTTGCACAGTACTTTTAGTTGTAGTCTTTGTCTTTTCTTTTTTTCCTGTCTCTCCATACAGCGTGGAGCTCTATTGCCTTAGATCAGACAAGCAGGAGGCTTTTGGCTGGACGTCCTGGGATGACGGGGGCTCTACACCAGCATCGGGAGGACAGAATGATGATGATGATGATAAATGAGCATTTGGACGTAATAAACTGTGCTCACAGACACTTTTCGCTCCTGAGAAGACATGTCATCAATGCAATGCCATACAGAAACTGATACTCCATGATGTGCTGGGAGCACATGGACATTACCTGTGATCTGTTTGTATGTGACACGTGTGTGTAAGGCTGTGAGAGTGTCCCGTTTGTCTGTCTGTGAATATATATATATATATATAAAAATGTATGTATATATGAAATGATGAATTATGCATCTATGTACTACAGGCAAATAATAAATAGAATTTATGCTATGAAATTGTCTGTGTGCCTTTATCGTTTTCTTTGAATACCAGTTTTTAATATTAAGAAGGTTTTCTGTAATGCATTAAGGTCATTTTCATTGTAAATTTAATTGAAACACATTATATAATACTTAACAAATGGCAGTTAAAAATGCAGTGAAACTTTAGATATATACAGCGGCGAGAATAAGTTAGAAAAAAAATTTGGATTTCTGCATTTATTATTTCTAAAATGTGGTTTGAATAAACTAATAACACACAAGCACTTTTTACGTTATGGTTCACATATGTATTCTTGCCACTGTATTTATGATTAATGTTAATTTAAGTCATTTGAAGTCAGATCGGTACCCTTCTCTCTTTCAAATGATTTTTAACTCATTCTTTGTAAAAATTACGTCAGTAGCCTACGTAATGCGTTGCGTGGCGCGCTGAAAACCTGTTTATAAAAACTGGTCCGTTACTGTTAATACTGCAGTAGCATTTGTGCATCACTAGAGGGCGCGTATTACTGTAGCGCACATGAACTGCTGAGTCACTTATGTTGTAGGCCATGTCCAGCCATTTTCACTTAGTTTTAAAAACTCCAGTTATATGTGTTTTTTTAATTTATTTTTTTAAATTGGGATGACCATTACTAGAAAGTAATACGGATGAGCTAATATTGTGGTCATGCTGTTAATCACAAATCAGAGCTTGTTTTCCTATTGTGTATTTTATTTTAGTACAGTGCCATTCATCTGTTAGTGGTGTATGTATTTGTCAAGTGTATTTTGTATGAGATTTTTCATCAATAGGCAACACACTTGAAAAAAAAAATCTTAAGAATGTTATAAATATTTCCTGCACCGTACAAATGCATACAGGGAAGCATGGGGTTAGTTGTCACTTTTCCCCCTAAGTAAATAGGTCTCAATGTAGGTTTATTTTCGCTTTCTGTGTTACTACATACCTTAAAGTCTTGGCTGCAAAAAGTCATTGAACACACACTTGTCCCACACTTGTTTTCAAGGAAACAAATATTCATTAAACACATTAACTCACACTACTGCATGTGGGGTAAGTTGTCACAGCGGGATGCTGTTTTGCATTGACATTGATTTGAGGAGAATATATTTTATTGAAAAAATAAATATTACACGTAAATCCTAATTTTAAAAATGAAACATTTCCACAATATGTCTTTTTGTATTAATGGCTTTTCAGCGACATGTAAACAATCATGAAAAATATTTTAAAATAATAATAATTCAATAAAACAACTTTTATAATTATATTATATTTGTAAATAAATATATACATTTTTTTGGAAATATACAAAAATATTTTCAAAAAGCATTTTAATTATTGAAATTTACATAATATTTACATAATACATAATGCATAATAACTATAATTGTGGCAACCTGACCTGACCTGAAAGTTCCTGAAATTGCTCCTCTCTATATATTTACATACGCACCAATTTATATATGCAAATACATATTTGTTTAATATCTGCTGTCCAGCAGTATAGTTTGCATAGACACCCAGCAAACTGCCAGTAACACAAAACCTCATTAGGTACACTTTTAACAAATAAGGTTCAGGTGTAACAACTCCTGATCGGCACATCAAAAAGGTGCGTTTCGAAATACTTTGTATGTGACCGGGAGCAAAAAAAGCCATTGGCACGTCATCTATCAGCATTGCTAGACACGGTTGAGCAGGCAGCTCCATTACAATCACAATATGACAAGGATACATCAGATAATCTGGGATGATAATTTTCAGCAACTTTGTCAAATCCTTCTGCCAGTTCAGAGGCTCCACATTTCTATTTTTATTCTTTTAATTTATTTTATTTACTATATCCACATTGGTTATTTCAGCAGTTAGAATCACATTTCCATTATTGTGTGTACATGATTATATGTGTACATAGTTAATGTTTCAAAATCTATCTATCTATCTATCTATCTATCTATATGTCTGCAAACTCTTCTCATCATATTTTGTGTATTTGTGACACAACCCCCAGTGCTTGCAGAAAGTGGAAGGAAGCTGCACTTGAATTGAGTTCTGTTGCCGTCAGTCACTGCAACCACAAATTAACTTCTCTTGAAAATGGAAAGCAAAATGCACAGCAGTTCTTCCCAAAAGTCTGATAAAAGTGCCCCTGTTGACTGGCCAGTGGCTCACCACCATGGTGCTTTTGGACACATTGTATCACCCCTTCTGTGGGAAAACATAGTTTTCAAGTGGCACTCCACCTGGCAGCTGCTGACAAGCTCTTGTAACGCTCATAAATTACAAAGCAGCAAACTTGTTATATTGGCCACAAAATCAATTACGCTTTGGCTGTAATGCAATGGGTGTTTTATTCAGCATTCTGCATTAACTTTCAAACATAAAGCAAGATAGGTTGGCCAGACTGGTTTTGTTTAAGTCAAAAATACTATTTAACATCACTGAACTAACAATTTATACCAACAAAAGTATTTTATGGGTTATTTCAGGTAGAAATAGCTCTTTAAGTGAATAATTCCAGGTTACCATTTTTTTACAGTGTATTTATTGAATTTAAAAACAGTGGTTTAAAGGGGTCATATGATGCGATTTCAACTTTTCCTTTCTCTTTGGAGTGTTACAAGCTCTTGGTGCATAAAGAAGATCTGTAAAGTTGCAAAGACTAAAGTCTCAAATCCAAAGAGATATTCTTTATAAAAGTTAAGAGTCAACCACGCCTACCTAAAACGGCTCGTTCTAACACGCCCCCACATTGCGCGGCGCGATGCAATGTAACGTGTAAAAAGACAGTATAAGTCATCCGTAATTATCTCTATGGTAATTATGTCCCCACTGGATGCAACAAATGCCTCGTTTATAATGGGTTTTA